TGTCGTAGCACAGAGAAATTTACATTAAATCTCGCTCTGTATTAAAATGAACTACAGAAATACCATTTAAATATACTATGAATAGGTACAAAATAAATGTGGTAAAATTTATTGAACTCCACATGACGTATACACGTGTAAGTTTCAGCCCTGAAACACACAAAGAGAAGAGAACAATTAAGTATAAAGGCGATGATATTTCATTGTCCTTTTTCATGTCTCACCAACATTATATTGTATGAGCCTCAATACCTTCGTAGGCCACAAAATAATGGCGCTCACGGCAAATTACACGGAACACGTGAATCGTCACAGGCAGTATCACATGTGGCAGAGTTGTGTGACGAATGACGTCATATCTCACACATACACTTACCCGTGAAGTGGATTAAGTGGTGCTTTCAACCGCTTGATGTATGGACGCGGATCTTGCCTGATTCATAAGGATCATTTTCGCGTAACGCGGTCGCTACCACTGTGTGGTGTGTCATTTTGTTTTCGTTCCCGTTTCCGTCTGTACTTAGAGTGAATGTCTAGTGTTTTTTGAGAACGATGCTTAATTCATAAGGGCTAAATCCGCGCAAACATGGCAGTGATTCCTCAAAATGATCATCACAATGCTTTATTGGAGATATCTTGCGATGTATTCCGGTTTCCAGTTTCTTTTAGATTTATTTTGGGCTTAGGCTGTGATTGTTTTCTGTACCTACTTCTGAGACCTTCATCAGGATCTCAACACCTAGACCAAGAAAGAAACTGTCTGAGTCTTTACGTAACCCGTTCAATTATCGTATACATTTATATGTAAAGTCAGTTTACTGTTTACAACACCTAAACTTAGATAATCATACAAAAGACTATAATGAAATTGAAGGCTATCTATAATATTTTAGTATCGATTTTGTTTAAGTAGCATTATAAATTCGTGTTTATCGTGACTCATAACTTCCCAAGCACAAAAGTGGACACATACAATCCTTATTAAAACCTAACCACTACCACAGTCTTCTTAACAGGTAGAAACGAGTACGTGTCGAGTCCACAATCCAATAGTAGGATCCATCTGCAATTTTATGCGGCAACTTATCATCTTTGGCGGAGCTATTTTTCGAATGTTTTACCTCGTTTAGAATGATGTTTGGTCCCTTTGATGACATTCTGTCTATTAGGGAGCGCTATCAACCTTTTGTATTCAACGTATTTCCTTTGTTCATACGTGAATTTCTGAATATTTTCAGGTACATACATGAAAGAATATTTGCATGAATCACTCGCATGTTTTTCGTTACATAAAAATATGTTTGTTATGTCGTGGGAGATGTAAGCTATTTTTGTGGTTAGATCATGATCTTAGTGTCTGTATTCTTAGTAAATATAACTTTAATTAGCACAACATAATTACTTGTGTGGTTTTTCTTGGAACTCGGTGGCTTGGGGTACACGCTATAGATAGCTGTAGAATTTGTATTTACAGTTCGTAGTAATGACTGACCTGATTTTTGCTGTAGGTTTACGAAACTGATTAACATATATATAAATTAAATATACAGATACCTCTGTATATTACGTGTATAACGAAATTTCAGTATAAACATATTACGTTTATTGATCTTGTATAAAGACTAAATCTCTTTGCTGTACCAAAATTTTGAAAATAGTTTACTTTAAATAGTTTTTTATTACATAACATAACATAATATAACATCACGCCTTTTATCCTCACTGTACAATGTAACACCCACTTTTTACTATTTATGTTATGAGTCCCATGTAATAGTGGGTGAGCCTATTGCTATATACCGGACACATTTCCAGACTCCGTGCTATATACTGAGATTTTTAAAAACCCAGTAATATTTTACACAGCCCGGGAATCGAACCCGAGACCCCTTGCACGGCATTCGCACTTGCGACCACTCGGCCAATGAGGCAGTATTATAGAGTACTAGAAAATATTAAAATATTGCTTACAGAGATAAGATATACAAATAAAGAGTACTATAAAAAACCTAATATTATTACATATAGCACATAGTAATCAAATAAAGTTTCACCTTAACCTAAAAACTCCCACCCAAATTCGAAATCTTCAAACATTGAGCTACTATTTTATTCCAACTTTTAACGAGTACTTCGTTCCGTTTCACGGGTAGTCCGTCACGGCTGCCGACTTTGTTTCACAACGCTACATAAATCTTTGCTCTTGGGCTACTGGCGGGCTTTTAGTCTAGCATTACTTTTGAGGTTAGGATCTGTGGAAAGTATACCGTATTGGAGTTTAAAGACTTGTAGCTATTGCTCAAGTGTTCGGTTATTTCGGTTGGACTTTACGATTTTTCTTTTAAGGAGTATTTCCTTTTTGAGTTTTCTTTTGTAAGTTGGTAGTTATTTTTATGTTCCAATTTAAATTTGATGTTTGAATTAGACAGTCGAAGCTTATATCCTCATAATGGTTATGATTTGGCTTTAATATAACATAAGATTACGCCTTTTATCTCCGAAGGGGTAGGCAGAGGTGCACGCTTATAGCACTTAATAGTGAATATTAACAGTTTCAGAACGTTTCCCTACATCTACACAGCTCTAGTCAAAAAATTATAAGTTCAAACGTAGACTTGGGGAAATTAATTATAAGTCACTAACGCCCGAATACTGAAAGGCTTTTAAGTTTTAATTAAAAATCATTCCATCTCTAATCTATAAAATACCTATATAAAATATATAAAAATCTATATTAATAATTTCATGAAACATTACCTGAAACATGCAAAAATATTGATTTCGAGTCGACAACTTATATCCGCAAAATTTGGATTACCGAGATTATTTCGTTTTAATTATTAATTTTAATGACACTGACAGACAAACCGCAGTCGCCACCTTGAGTAGACAATAAACGTTCCATTTCATACTAGCCTCGCCAATCAACACGTTGTCGCGTCAAAAAAGTAGATATAAATTAACAAGAAATATTAATAATTTCACGCGAACGAAGTGGCGGGTAACAGCTAGTTATAATTAAGCGCGATATTAAAATTGACTAGCGTTTGAGTATTTCGACATAAGTCTATCTACGCTAAATTTGTGCTTAAAAAATTTTATGAAGTAAAAACCCCATACCTATGTAAAAGAAAACACTTAATATTTGCTAAACTTTAAAACACATCTCACTTACTCTAAAAAATATCTCACAACTTGAAGAACAACGAGCCGTCTCAACGGTGTCATTCACGTTCACGATGAATGAACCAAAAACTTGTCGGTTTAACGGAGGGTAGAAGAAACAGATTGTGTTAAAACTAACTTCCATGGAACAGTTTCAAGAGAAAATATGTTAATGGTACTTTAAACTTGTTTGAATTAGGTTTCTTTTTGAATCACATCGTATTTGCTGTTTAAATGGCATCGATTTTGAGTTTAGTTTTATTTTATGAGCCCGATTAGGTTGTCTTACATTGGTTATAAATAAATTTATATCTGTTGTTTTTTTTTTTAGCTGGGTTCATTTATGTATTGCTGCCATTGTTTTGGTAGAAGACAGACTGGTTTTTGTATTTTCAGTCAAGTTAAAATCTTTTAAACGTCAACAAAAATGAAGAGTGAAGCTATTTGTACAGTCTAAGGCGTAGATTCCTATGGAAAAGAACGGGCAAGAAACTCCATGGGTTACTCTTTTCCAATCAGATTCCCAATACAATTTTCAGTTACATGATCGATGAGATTGAACATCACACAGTTAGTTATTTGATATCACAAGGAACTTACTACCAATTTCCATTATCAAAGTCAAAGTCGAAATCATGTATTTCAATTAGACCAGGAAGGCACTTTTGAACGTAACAAACAAAAATTTTGAAGTGAACCTAGTTGCTCATCTATCATCTTATCTACGTCGCGGAGAACCTAACGGGTAACCGGGATCCGGCTCGACGTGCAGGAGAAGGAACGGGGTGATTTTTAGTAAGTAAGAGTCTGACACTCCCTCCCGCCTCACCCAGGCGGGAGCAGTCATTCGATGATTTTCCCCCCTTAAAAAAAATCATCTTATCTATATTCTTTTTGCCTGCTTCTATATCTAAGTCAAGTGCTTAATAATCTGAGCAACTTATAATGGCGGCTTATCCAAAATGAATATCCAGGATCGTCACCGACTTTTAGTCTTACATCATCAATCATCATCAACGGCCTATATGTGGCCACTGCTGACCAAAGTCCTCTTTTCACACGAAGAAGATTTGAGCATGAATCTCCACGCTTACTCAATGCAGGTTGGCAATATAAAACTTATAATTAGAAATTATAAGCTTAGGTTTTCTCACTGTGTTTTCCTTCACTGTGTTAGTCAGTGGTGTCTAAATATCCTTAAAAAGGACATATAACTCGGAAAAAGTCACATTGGTAATTGCTGTTGGTAGGTTTCGAACCTGCACCTTCATGCATAAGAAACCGGCGTCTTAAGCCTCCGGTCCACCACGACTCAATTTACTCTTACAAGTTACAATACTATCTTGTTAATATAATGATTTTTTTATTTATTTAATATATTTAATAAGTAAATACTTAGAACTAAATTTCCAAAGTCATTATAAACGCTACTCAATCAAGTTGAGAATGTCTTGTGAGTTCGACGAAGTCCGCTACAAGGCGGACCAAGAAGCTGCAATATCCGGCAACTGAATACACTGTCGCTACTCTATTGTATAACCGGACAACTACACATCTCTAGTTGAGATATTTTTCTTTGATGTCTGTGTTTTTTTTTGTTTTGAAACAAGTTTTGTAGGGTATTAAATTGAATTGTGGTATCACAAGTATTAAATGATTTTTAATATTATGGTTTGATTAATTTTTGTCTATCGCCATGTCGTATAAAATTACTAATAGATTCTAACAGATGATATTATATATTATACTTAATTTTTTTTTTACCGTCTGCCTGTCCCTATGTTTGCTTAGATCTTTAAAACTACGCAACGGATTTTTATGCGGTTTTTTTATAGATATAGTGAATCTAAAGAAGGGTTTATATGTACAATACATATATGCATATTGCACCTGTGCAAAGCTGGGGCGGGTCGCTAGTATCTAATAATTGACAAAACACTGATATAGAATGTGAATACAAACGAAAAAGGTACTAAGAACTCTTGAAAGAGAAAAAAATTAATACAACAGCGATATCAAATTTCTGATAAAATTTGTTTATCTGTGGTCAATAGCAAAGGTCTAACCACAAGCTAAACCTAAAAGCAACAATGAAATTAAAAATTCAGAATACCTAGATGTGGCTTCTCAGAAACTGTGCTCCACAATAACTAAAGCTACACAGGGCTAATTTGCATAAATTTCCCAAACTAATTTACTGTCTACATACACATAACATAATTCGCTTATCTATTTAATTTATCTCTGTGAAACATTTACGTAGAATTTATGGTTACATGAAAGTCATATGAAATTATGTTTTTAAATATATTCTTCATACCATTTTTACGTTATTAATATGAGAAGTTTACTTTCGTAGTTTCATTATTTTATTATTATTTATTTAATAAAAAGGTAGAGGGTATGACTTATCATCTCGGGTCTGATGTGGTTTTAAATTATCTTTTTTAGTTCCTCGTTTATTTAAAGATTTTAAATGAGATATTATAAGGTATTTTAAAATTCTCAGAACATAAAAAATATATATATTGATAAAGTTGTATTCGTAATGTTAAAAATACAATAGATCTATATTAGTGATAAGAGTTGTAGCCATTTGATTAAAGCCTTTGCGGCATTATAATAATAAAAAAAAACCATGCTCGGCATCTTAAAAAAACTAATATTTTTTAACGGGGGGAAATCATTATATTATTTCTCCTGCCTGGGTGGGGCGGGAGAGAGTGTTAGATTCTTACTGAATAAAAACCACCCCGTTTCTCCTCCTTCCACTTCGAGCTGGAGCCCCGGTAACATTTTACCTTTTCCGTGGCTCTATTCGGCCCTATTCGGCCCCATCAATGGTGGTCTGATGGCTCTTTGAGGAGCGCGTGGAACGCGACCCGCCGTATGTTCGGGCCTGGTTCTGGTCGGGCGGCGAATTACCCGTGCTTGCCGTCCGCAGGCCCGTGCTTACGGTAGCCGGAGATCATGTCGTGTAAAATATACTAGTATGTCCACTATATTCTAATTATGAAATTGTGCACTGTAAAATATTTATTATTTTATTTATAAAATCGTTTGCCACGTACCTAGTTACAATCTTGACCAGCTGACTAAAGCAATAACGTGTGGTTCTTAAGCTCTCTTCTTTGTTGAGTCCTTTAAATAAACTATATTTATATGTTATATGGTTCAAAGACTTTTAAACTTTAAGTTTTCTCAATATGTATTGACTTGGAATTGAGATTGAACGCCTTATGAGTTGGTGACCTTTGAGCATGGGTATTTATACGTACATAACATCACACCTTTTATCCCTGAAGTGGTAGAAAGAGATATACATTAAGCCACCGTACGATGTAACATCCACTTTACACTATGTTATGAGTCCCATGTAATAGGGGGTGAGCCTATTGCCATATACCGGGCATATTTCCAGACTCCGTGGTACTACTGAGGTTTTTACAAACCCAGTAATATTATGCCCGACCCGGGAATCGAACCCGAGACCCCTTACCCGGCAGTCGCACTTGCTACCACTCAGCCAATAATGCATAGTATTTTAAATAAATGCTCTGTCAAACGCAAGTCATCTGTATTTTCTGATAATTCATTTTTATTTTTGAACTCATTAAACAAGGAAAATATTTTTGTATGACAAATATAATATTTATTGAAACATCGAGGTGCAGACCACAATTTAATTGCCATCATTTGTAAATGAACCGAACGTTTTCGAGCAGAAACTTGCATTCCGGAAGGTTGGTTGTATTTCGGTCAGAATGTATTTATATATTACTTATGTATGTATGTTATGTATCTGTGAATATTTCTACCACATTTATTTATTTTGAATTTATTTATTTATTTTTGAAAATGTACATATACAACACCACAGCTTACGCCATTAAGTTATACTGTTAAACTTATATATATAAATGCAATTATTTAGGTAATTAAAAACAAACATATTAGGTAATCAAACACAAGAAATAAAATTAATACAATTCAGAAACAAAATTAACAAAAAACACATAGGTAATTTTGTGACATTTTTTAGTTTATGTTAACTGACTATAAATAGTGAATATAATATATCAGTACGTAAAGATCTTTTTCGTTTTATTAAATTTGTGTAACTTCATAACATCCCGCCTTTTATTTTTTTTATGTCATAAGCCGGTAAACGAGCAGACGGATCACCTGATGGTAAGCAATCGGCGTCGCCCATGGACAACTGGAACACCAGAGGCGTTACAAGTGCGTTACCGGCCTTTTGGGGATTAGGAGTTTGAAGAACCCAACGATCTTCAAATAAACGGATTCAGGAATTGGGGAGATTGGGGAAGGGGAGGGTAATTGGGCCTCCGGTAAACTCACTCACACGATGAAACACAACGCAAGCGTTGTTTCACGTCGGTTTTCTGTAAGGCCGTGGTATCACTCCGGTCGAGCCAGCCCATTCGTGCCGAAACATGGCTCTCCCACACTTATATTCCTGAAGGGGTAGGCAAGGGTGCATTATGGTACTTAATACCACTGCACAATGTAACACTCAACCGACTCAACGTATCCCAAGTTGTATACAGTGTATTAACATAATTTTTGGCTAGTCCTTAGTCGTTTCCTGTTAGGCTGCGATCTAATCCTTTAAGTAATAATAACCTTCAAGTTATCCCAGTATAGTACATTTGATATCTAAATTCTCAAAATGAGATGAGTCAGTAACATGATTCCTCATCGCATTCAAACGTTTATTCTTGGAATATCATACAATGGTGAACTGCACAGAATTATGAGATTTGGCGCACACTAACTACTGTGGGTATGGTACAATTTCTCATTGGCCGACTGCCTGGTTGACCGAGTGGTCGCAATTGCGACTGCCGGGCAAGGGCTCTTGGGTCGCGCAAAGTACTACTGGGTTGTTTCAACATTCTCAAAAGTAGCAAGGATTCTGAAATTGTGCCCGGTATATGACAACATATGTCCCATGTAGGACTCATAAATAGTGAAAAGTGGATGTTACATTGTACAGTGGCATTAAATTCCGTAATGTGTACCTCTGCCTACCCCTTCGGAGATAAAGGCGTGATGTTATGTTAAGTTATTTTCTGAAGATAAATTCCTAAATACTTATACTTTGCATTTATTATAATAATTACGATTGAATGCGTTTATTTTCAAGAGAACATTCATATTAAAACGCCTTTTTTTCTTAGGTAGGTAAATGAAATGGAGGTTTTTAAAACAAACTGCTGTGTTAAGGTCTTAAAATATATAGATATTTGATTATTTAAAAGATCCTTAAACAACGCTAAATATCAAATTCAAGTGGGCACGAATAAACCGGCTCGACTGGAGTAATATCACGGCCTCACAGAAAACCTACGTGAAACAACGCTTGCGTTGTATTTCGTCGTATGAGTGAGATTACCGGAGGCCCAATCACGCCCCCTCCCAGTCTCCCCAATCCCCGAATCCCCCACCATCTTCAAATTCCCAATTCTTCCTTCCCAAACGGCCGGTAACGCACTTGTAATGCCTCTGGTGTTCCGGATGTCCATGGGCGACGCCTATTGCTTACCATCTGGTTATCCGTCTGCTCGTTTACCGGCAAAAAAATCAGATAGAAAATTTCGTCTTATTAAGTTTCAACCTAGTTAACCCAGCTTGCAATATCTAAAAGCATATCAAACCAACATCCGACATAAAATCGCACGACAAAATCGCAACCTTACACCTGTTCTAAGACATAATAGCACGCATATCCGCACTTGCCTTGCAGCTTTCACCCCGTCATGTATAAGACAGCCTTGTTTGAAGCGGAACAGGATTAAACTGTATGTATGTAACGTGTTGTGTTCCTCGAATGTTCTGTATTCATAGTCTTCTCTAGACGTCGCTTGGTTGGGGGCCTAGGGTTCGCTTGTTAGGAGGTATTTGGAGGTAGATTTGTTAATTAATGAGGATCTAGTATAGCTTAGGAGTCGCGGAGAACCTAACGGGTAACCGGGGCTCCGGGTCGACGTGCAGGAGAAGGAACGGGGTGGTTTTTAGTCAGTAAGAGTCTGATGAAGAATCGATCTTAAAAAAAAAGTATAGGTTAGGAGGTTATTTATTTGTATGATTGTTTGAAAATGATTAGATCATAGTACTATTTGCTGAGTATTAGGTGAAGTTACTGACCTGAGTCTTATAATTTTTGTAATTTTTTAACAGGCTTTAAAAAAGCAGGAGGTTCTCAGTTTAACCTGTACTATCTATGTATGTATGAATATATGTTTGTGCGCGATTATCGCGCGATTGGCTGAACCGATTTTGATGCGGTCTTCAGAAAAATATTTGTTACACTTAAGTAAAGGTTTTATCATCTATATCACTTTTTAAGCGTCTTCAAAAACAGAAGGGTTGCAACGGGTTTTTTTAAACGAAGTTTACATAATTATTATTGAGCATATAACTTTAACAATGCCCATAATGGCTCATTAGGAGACTAGATCTCTGAATCATTAGAGAGTTTATCATAGTCCAGGTTTAGAACAAGGGTTGGAGATCGCTGCTGTCCAATCAATGCTTCATGCACCGCAGCTTGATACTAAGACGACTTTCCTTGAATCTCTTCGTGAATCCAACACATCAACATAATCAAACTTTATTTTAAAGAAAATTCTTAATGGAATTAGACAATGGAATTACACATACACACATCAAAAGCCTATAAGTGGCCACTACTGACCATGGCCTCTTCTCACACCGAGAAGGTTTGAGCGTTAATCACCACCCTTGATAATGCGGATTGGCGATTTAAAACATATAATAAAGAATTGTAAGTTCAGGTTTCCTCACGATCATTTCCTTCACCGTTTGTCAATAATGTCTAAATAATCTTAGAAAGTACATATAGCTCGGAAAAAGTCACATTCAACCGCGCACCCTCACGCATGAGAAGCGGGCGTCTTACACCTCCGAGCCACCATGATGAAATAACAATGAAATCACAATATATTAAATACTAGCGACCCGCCCCGGCTTCGCACGGGTGCAATATGCATGTATTATACATACAAACCTTCCTTAAGAATCACTCTATCTATTAAAAAAAACCGCATCAAAATCCGTTGCGTAGTTTTAAAGATCTAAGCATACATACGGACATACAGCGAAAGCGACTTTGTTTTATACTATGTATTGATTAGGCACTAAAAAAACAACCACACCATGTATCTTAAAAAAAAAACAAATCCACAAAGCATTATATCACACATAAAAATCCCACTCACAAACGATACACGGCAGAAGTTTCCATAATTGTTTTAATTCGTGCACAGTTTTTGTGCAACTCACTGTACGAAGAGTGGTGCAACGTCGACGTTTTTACATTTGCAAACACGTAGTTCATTTGCAGTGTATTCAAAATGACCCAGTTCTATTTAGTTTTTAAAGGTAGCCCAACTTTTAGAGTCGCTTTTTTAATGTTCTTTTCGTTAGCCATTTACGTATGTCTGCAAATGAGCTTTCTATTAATAGGGTTTTATGTTTCTGTTTCATATTAAAATGGATAATTTGTTTAATTATTTTTTGACACATTTTTTTTCTTGTCGCTATCCCTGTTGCATTTTTGTTACCTGTGGCTTCAGTATACGAGCTGTTGTTATGACTGTATTATGCTACACGACATTATTGCATATGCAATCTGTATTCTAATGTGATTATTCTTAAGACTCGTTTAAACAAACCAAATACAAAGACAATTTTGTATGCATACTCAATTCAATCATTTCATCAACGAGGCAGACCAAAGTGTATCATATAACAACTACAAAAAACTAATAACAAACAAAAAGTCAATACTAAAAAGCAAAAAATAACTATTATTAGTACTGATAGGTTACCCACCCACTGATAGGT